AATATGTATGACTGTAGTACCTCAGAACTGTTTTGATTAACATTTCTCCAATCAATAGTGATTTAGAACATTTTTTCAAATGACCATAGATAGGCTGAATTTCTTCATCTGAAAACTGAATGTTCATGTCCTTTGACCATTTATCAGCTGGGGAGTGACTTGTATTCTTCTAAATTTGACTCCGTTTTCTATATATTTTAGAAATGAGGCCTTTATCTTGGTATACAGTGTAAGATACTGGTCCATGCCTAGCTTCTGCCATACAATTTTCCAGTTTTTCCAGCAGTTTTTTTTCTTTGAAATAGTGAGTTTTTATCCCAAAAGCTGGAATCTTTGTTTATCAGACACTAGGTTCCAATGTTTAATAAGTACTATGTCTTTTCTTGTGCTGTTTCTTCCTGTAACTCACTTAACTTCTTTTATTAAGAATTTGAATGGTATACCACTTGGTGCATATAGGTTTGGTATTGAAATTATTTCATTATCTATGGTACTTTTTAGCAAAATATAGTTTGCTCCCTTATCTCTTTCAGTTAGGTCTATTTTTGCTTTTGCTTTCTTTGAGATCAGGATTGCTACTCTTTTTTTTTTTTATTATTTCAGCTGAATCATAATAGATTCTGCTCCATCCATTCTGTGTGTGTCTCTTTGCTTCAAGTGTTTTTCTTCTAAATGACATATTGTAGGATTAGAGATTACTCTATCTGCTTCTATTGTTTTTGAAAGTTCATTCCATTCACATTCACAGTTACGCTTATTACCTGTGTATTTCCCTTCATCCTATTCATCCTCCTGTCCATCACCCATCCTCCCATCTTTCACTCTACTTTAATAGGTTGTTGTGCCTCTTCATTTGGAACCACTTATTCTATTTTACCTCCTCTTTCTCATCTCTTAATTATTTTTTTGTCGTTCCTTCCAATTAACCTTATACCCATACCCTCTGCCTATGTCCATTCCTTCTGGCTGTACTATTAGCGGTACAGTTTAGAGAATTACAAGTATCATCTTCCCATGTAGGGATAGAAACAGTTTAGGTCTATTGAATCCCTTTTTTTCTTTTCCTTTTTTACCTTTTTAGGCTCCATCTCTTATGCGACTTTAATCTCTTTTTTGAGCTCTTCCATGATTTCTTTCTGGGCTTGAGACCATTTCCCATTTTTTTGGGGGGGTTGCCCATGGGTGTTTTGGCATTGTTGTCCTCTTCTGAGTTCGTATCTTCAACTTCCCTGAAACCATAATAAATATCTGTGGTTAAATTCTTTTTTTGTTCTTGTTTTTTTGCTCATCTTTTTTGGGTTTTCCCTTCCTTTTAAATTTGAGTTCTACTCCCAGGGTGAAAGGGACACTATCCCAGCCTTCTTGTGCCAGGGGCTGCAGGTCCTGGCTGTAACATGGTGTTGCACTGATGTTGCCCTGAGGACCAGTGGGGACCCTTGTGTCTGGTACTGCCCTGAGAAGTTGAAGAGCTGGCTAGCAGTGCTGGAAGCCATAGTGGTCTAGTAGCTTTTCTGGTGCTGATCCTGAATCCTAGGGATGGTGTCTGGTGTGTGCTGAAACCAATGGACTCTTTCTTTTTGTTTTGCCAGGGCTACACTGAAACATGTGGTGGTCTGCCTTTTTGCCAGGGCTATGCTGAAGCATGTGGCAGTTCTCTGAGCTACAGTCTGCTGTTCCCTTGGATGTTCAGAGACATGTGAAGGGTCCTGGTGTAGGTTTTTGCCTACTCTACCACACTAGGGCTTAGGATCTCCTGCTGGTTTGCTGAATTGGAACTTGCTGCTGCTTTGCTGGGACCCTTCCTGTCCTGGACAGCACTTCCCTTTTACCTGAGTGAGATAGACCTTTATTTCCTATCATACAAGTTTCTTGTGCTAAAAGATTCCCCCCCCCCTTTTTACTGGTTCTGCTGTTCCTGGATTTGTTTGGGGGGCACTATTTTATGATTGTTTGGTCGTGAATATGGAAGAGTTACATCAGTTACTACTTATTCCACCATCTTGGCTCCTGCAACTAGAAAAAATGGTTGATCAGTTAATGTAATTTAAAAGTACAATTACTTTTCCTCCTCCCATTTTTCTGTAATGTTTTAATTTTTAAAGTGTTATAATTATATATACATATACATATATATATGCATTTGTGTGTTTGTATACACACATATTCACACACACACACACACACATATATATATATATATATATATATATATATATATAGAGAGAGAGAGAGAGAGAGAGAGAGAGAGAGAGAGAGAGAGAGAGAGAGAGAGAGAGAGAGAGTTCTATAACAACATTTTCATTGCTCTGTGTTTTTCTGGCAACATTTATTCATTTCTAATCATTTTATTATTATTGAAAATAATTTTGTCTTATATTGGAGTGGGGGTGTTAAAAATGAACCATAAACAGCCTAGGTTAGGTACACCACTAACATCACTGGTACTTTTTAAATCCATGATAATGCCATTCCATTAGGTTTGGGTGGGAAATGATCTTAGAGAGATTCTGATATTTCTAAAGCAGTTAACTGCAGCAAACACACACACACACACACACACACACACACAGAGGATATAAGAAATAGAAAGGTCATTTAAAGAAATTAGGATAGTTACCTAAATCATTCTCTGAGTTGTTACTATGTGTATTATGCTATTATGTCTTCAGAAGCTGAATCCCTAAACGAGAGATACCATCAACAGTGAATCTCATTTTCCATCAATTTCTGGGTGACTCTTCACAAAACGTTACCTGCTAAGCAGTTCTACTTTTCCATCTCTTAATTAAACATGGCTCTCTGTGACAGAATGTGTCTTAGGGGAAAAAGAGAAAAAAATGATAATAACCAAAATTTTGAAGTTCAGTCTGTAGTCACGATAAAATAAGGTGAATATATTGTGAAATCTTTGTGTGTCAATTACATTAAAGGGCACCCCAGAAAGGGAAGAAACCCCTCATCACTTTTTCTCTGTGTGTGTATATGTGTGTGTCTGTGTGTGTATAGCTGGGGATGGGGAAGAGAGCAGAAGTGGTGTCTGTTGTCAGTAAAGTGAGAATCTTTGTAATGTTCTAGTGCTCCTAAAAGCGAAATAGGATTCTAAGGCAATGGAATCTAGGCTACCAAGGGAAAAGTAACTCTTTCTTATTGGTGAGGAGATAAGGTTTCTAATGTAAAAGAAAAATAATACCCAGACAGTTGCTTGCTTTGTGCTGCACATGTTATTTTTTCTTATTCCTACCAAAAGTTAACCAGGAGGCCACCCCCAGTACTAGGAGGCCAAATGAGTTTGTATGCACTTCAAAAAAAAAAAAAAAGATACCCAGGACATCTAAACCTCGTATTGTTTGTCTGTGATGGAATTAATTTAATTGGGTATCGGGGACTGACAATGTTAATGCACTCTCTGACAGGAGGTGATAGAGGCCCATCTGTAGCTGGCATGCTGAGCTGATTTGATCAAGGAAGCTGTAGGTCCATTGTCTGCCAGTTACTCAGAGGCAAATTAGGTTTTTGAAAATTTTCATCCATTTAATATGAAGATAGGAAGAAGTCTAGTTTTATATCCAGGGAAATGGATATAGAAGGGCTCTAAGGTTATACATGTTTGTATTAATATAGGCATTTTATTTAAACTAATCCCATCAATTTGTCGATAGTCATTGATTATCTTTCAAAAATGTATTTGAAAGGTTCATGTTCTCCAAATTTTCTTTTGCATTTCTTTTCGATGCCTTTTTTTGGGCATTGAGGAAGGTGACAGCTCATATGACAAAAGAATGACAAAATTGCAATCAGACTCATTCTGCATCAGCAAAGCTCTTTACATTGTAGAGGAAAAGGAAAGGGATGGGTGTGGTATGGCCTGAGTTTTCAATCTAGGAGATTTGTGGGCCTCCTATTTTGATAATAATACAGTAATAGTGACTTGGTAAACCCTACAGCTTCCATCAAAATGAAAAGATGATATCAAACAAGAGATAGAAGTAAATGGTCTCCCAACAGGTTCTATTTCCAAAGGCTCTATTTTGACCCCTGTCCTCTCCAATCTTATAGGGTTCCCTGTTTCTGTTGTTTAGTGTTCTAATCCTCACCTTTGTTCACTCCATGATAGCAATAAAGTTTTAGACCCCTCATCAAAGGGAACCTTCATTTAGCACGTTCTTAAGACATAAAGTAAATATGTAAATTGTTTATGGAGGTGACTAATGTTAGCCATCTCTTATCTATGTGATTGTGCTAGGTCAAAATTATTTGAATGTCTGCTTCGTTCTGTCACGTGTCACATTTATAAGATCACTACATGAAAAGGCTAGATAGGAACTGACTTTAATGAAGATCACAGGTCAGAGATGAAGGGTTTTTTGGTTGTTTTGTTTTTTGTTTGATTTTTTTTTCTTTTTAGAGAATGTGCTTTTCTAACACTCTACAGCAGGGTAACTGGTATCTTTCATTTTATTCCTTCGCAATTCTCTTCCAGTCCATGTGTGAGCATTGCATTCACAATCTTATTTGTTTTCTTCACTTGATTTTAATGTAAGTTTATATAAAGGGTGGAGTGAGGAGGAGAACAGAGGATTTTAAAATTATTTGGCATTTCTCTTTCTTTTAATCATACTAGGTCAAAATTTCGTACAACATAACGTGACATAATGGAAAGAGCACTTTCCTGGAAATCTGGATCCAAGTTCCAGTTCTGTCAGGAAAAGGAAAAAAAAAAGAAAAAGAAACTGAGTTTATGACTTTAGGCACTCATTTATATTCTCTGGTCCTCCTTCCACCTACTTAAAAAATCTGTATAATAATGCTTATCTAATAAACTTTCTGCAAAGGATGAAAATCTCCTTGAGTCTCAGTTTTCTCATATGTAAAATAAGGGGTTTGGATTATACGGTCTCTTAGTTCCCATGTAGTTCTGAATCTATGATGTTCTAAGGGAAAAAAAAATATCTCTGCTTAACTTTACCCTGATCTCTTTTTTTTTTTCCTGCTGTGTCAAGGTGTCAGAGAAAAATGGGAATTATGGAAATGAATTGCTCAAGAAACTTAACATAACAGCTGCCTGTGGGACTGTCACCAAGTGAAATAACACAACTGAGAAAAACTCCAAAGACCTGTGAGAGAAAACCTGAATATTTTATCTTAGGACCCTCTGGTGACCAGCCTTTGAGTTATCTAGCACAGTTTTTTCTAGCTGTTGCCTGGGACACTGATGAGCCCATGGTGATAGCAAATGATGGTCATTACATACCCAACCAGATGGTATTAAAATAATGTGGTGAATTGAGGCAGAAATTATCTCATATCTGTTACCTCTAAGACCAAAGTATTCTGGTAGAAGGAGGTGGGAGGGGGAATGCTTTATCAATTTAGTTTTTGTGCAAAGCTAGAAAACACCAAGCACAGAATAACAGCTATGAGTAGCTGCTATTTCAAACTTCCCTAGAAGCTACAGGTTGCTTTAGTACTCAGGAATTTTAAACAGGGCATTGTCAATTTCATTTTCCTTCTAGTAAAGAATCCATTTAATCTACATATACATGAGTTGCATGACACTAGAAAAGAGTTTAGAATCTCAATGAAATTGGGGGCAAGAACCAAGTTTTGAATTATGATATGCTTAAATCATTCCCTTAGATTAAAAACCCTGGACAGAAACCCAGTAGGAAAATTTAAGCAGGATATAATCTGAAAAACTATTACTAGTGAGCAGATTGCTCAAGACTAAAACAAATGCAGACATATATGCAATGGGAATAAAATGAAGATACCCGGATTGGCACCTGGGGTGGCTTACATATATACTCCAATAAATTATTCCACCCCCTCATCCTAGGAAGGATATGAAGCACTAGTCTTCTCTATGTCAAATTTAGAACAGTGTTCACAAATATTAATTATGAATATGTTCAGCAAACTGTAAAATCTCTTGAAAATGTAAATCCGTATAATGAGATTACTATACACACACATTCATGCACACACATACCACACACACACACACATATGTGTGTGTGTGTGGTATGTGTGTGTATGCAATCAAGAATTATTATACCATGTAGAATTAACTGTAGGATCAGTTGTAGATGAAAATTCTGGGCTTTTTTACAAAGAGGTCCCACTCCATCTCATCCTAAAACTTCCCTCCCCAAATACTGTCACAATGCACTCTATTTTACCAGTCTCCTAAGGACTGTGTATGCTCTTCTAGTAGCCATTATGCTACTCACCTGAACTCTTGGAGCTTTTTTGAAGAAATTCATAATATCGGTATGCCACTTCCTTTACATTGTTGTTGTTGCTGTTCCTTTTCCATGAGGTGATGTGTTGACTTGTGTATGAATTGGATTTAAGTGAAGCAGAGTTGCAGAAAGCTGTCAGCCTCACTCTCTCTTTCAGAGTCACTGAAAGCCAGTAACAAGACAAAAGTCAGGATGACTGGAAGTGACTGCGCACATACAGTGGATGACCTGATCAAACTCTAAGCACTTCACAGTGCCTTCTTCAACCACCTTCATGACTGTTGGGACAAATTGTTCTCATCTTTCCATTCCTCAGGAAGAAGTCTTCACATGCTTGGGGTAGACATCGCTCTAACTCACCAATGAATTTGAAGTTTGTTGATTACCCTGAAGTTGATTTAGCCCATCTGCCTGATTTAGTCCATCTACAACCATGGTTTTGCCAGGGTGTAGCTTCTGCATGTGCTATGGCTTCTTGGGGGAAAAAAAAAAGGAATAAGCATAGTTTATCATAGGGGATGAGGAGCTTATAGTATCCCCTCTGGAGGTTTGAGTTGACTTCTCCCATTCTCTTTGATGAGTTTTCTTAAAAAAAAAATCTTGCTTGTCTCCCTATATCCACCACTAGGTTCAATATGAATATAAATTTCAAGTAATATAGGCATACATAGAAGTTAAGTCTCCATTCATTAACTATTGGCTAGTTTTACCAGACATCTGATGTCAAAACAGGTCAAGTGAGTTATAATTGGATATAATTAACTGTCCCACAAGCTGTTAATTCCTTTACCTGGAGCCAAATGGAAGACTGTTGCTATTTAAAGTACTTGTGTATATATATGTGTGTGTGTGTGTGTGTGTGTGTGTGTGTGTATATATGTGTGTGTGTGTATATATGTATATGTATATGTATGTACACACACACACACACATCTGCACCTCGTATCAGTATGATAAACAAATTCCATTTGCATCAAACTATGTGAAGATCTGAAGTTTATTTTTTTTTTCTGACTAAAGATTTAGAAATGTCCAAGTAGAAGTCTGGCTCCCAGCTACAAATAGCAATGACATCTTTTCATAGCAATTGGATCATGAAGCTGATATTCCTCTGTATGAGAGATGTTATATAAAAATACAGCATATGCTATATTTTCACTAGGGATTTAGTTCTCCAGACATGGTAAGTATTTACAATGCAAAAAGCAATATGGCTTTTAAGATGTATAAATGAAACACTGTAGTTATTCAAGGCATATTTGTGTAAGGAATTAATCTGGCACTGCCTAATGTTACCTTGCTTATGATATAATTTACTAGCAAAAGCTACTCTCAATAGAAGACTATCAGCAATAAGAAACGGCAAGTCTACAGACAAATTGTATGTTTGAACAATTAGAACTCTGACACTAACTGGGTGGTATTAAGCAAGGTGCTGAAGTTCTCTTTCCTTCAGTTTTTTCATCTTAAAAAAAAAAAGATGGAAGCCAGTGGGCTAGAAATTGTCTAACTGGTTCTACAATTTTTTCTTTGATTTGTTGAATAAGAGATTGTCCTGGGGACTATAGGATGAGAGTATATATAGATATATATGTTTAGCAATATAGTTAAATTCAATGAACTTATATTAAAGCAATCAGCCAGAAAGAAACAATTCAAATATTGGGGAGCCAGAGTCAGTTTACACAGGACTTAACAGATTTTATATTAAAGTATCAGAGGGCCTGGTATATGATATTCCAGAAGCCAAAGGAGCTTGGATTACAACCAAGAATCAACTACTCAGCAAAACTGAGCATAATCTTTTGAGGGAAAAGATAGGCCATTCAATGAAATAGGGGACTTTCAAACTTTCCTGATGAAAAGACCAGAGCTGAACAGAAAATTCAAATAAAAGGCTGAAGAGCAGCATAAAAAGACAAACAGGGAAGAAAAAAAAACCTCTTATTCATAAAGTTAAACTGTTTATATCCCTAAACAGGAAGATGATACTTGTAACTCTTGAGAATTGTACATTTATTAGGGCAGTTAGAAGGGGTATATGTAGACAGAGTGTGCAGGTATAAGTTGACTTTGATGTGATGACATTAAAAACAATAATGGATGAAAAGAAATCATGGTACTGGGAGAAGGGGAAAGGTATAGGCAGAAGAAGGTAAATTACATTACATGAACAGGCACAAAGATCTATTACAATAGAGGGAAAGAAGGAAGAGGATGAAAATTGTTTGAACCTTACTCTCATCAGTATTGGCTCATGTATGCTTCATTACATAAAGCAACAACTGTGCCATGTTAGAAATATCTGTTGTTTCATCTAATTCAAATTGCAAACTTTGGGGAGCCCTTAAGCCTGGTAATAAGCTGCTGGTACTGGTCATTACTAATTTCAGAAATTATATTGGAAATAATATTTTTCAATAAAGGAATTAAAAAATATCACCGTACTTTTCCCCATGAACTACGTCTGATAATTTAATAGCAGCAGGTAACACAAGATATCCTCCCATCATATAGGACTTTTTAGTTTTTGCAATTAAATAATAAGTTTCATAAGATGCAAGTAAATACTTTTCATTGACAGTAACAAATTTCTCACAACATTGTTTTTCTTTATTTGAACACTTTCAAAGTCATTCAAAATATTCCTTTGGTTTATTGCAGTATGCTGCATGGTTAATATTTAGATGTTATTTTAGTTTGTTTGGATTCATACTGTCTGCAGCCAAAACTTCATTACAAATTAAGCAAAGAGATTTCTCCACGCACTCATCATTACTAGAAGTAGATTCATATTGTTAAAAAGATCTAACATATTTTATTTTACTGTCAATTTGTTATAAAATATAACTAAATATTGCTAATAATTTCTCAAATCAATAATAGCTTTAGTGTATGAAATTACATTTGTTTGTGCCTTAATTTAAAAAAAAATGATGTTCACACTTACATTCACATATAGCAGTGATGGTGGAGAAATACTATTAAAGGTATTTTGTCTCTGCTGCAATTAAACACTGTTTCTGTAGGGGCAGCTAGGTGGTGCAGTGGATAGAGCTCTGGCCTTGGAATCAGAAGTACCTGAGTTCAAATCCAGTTTCAGACACATGACACTTACTAGCTGTGTGACCCTGGGCAAGTCACTTAACCCCTATTGCCTCACCAAAAACAAACAAAACAAAACAAACAAAAAACAAAAAAAAAACCTCTGTAAAAGGAAATAACATCAGTTTTTAAAATCAAACATTCTAACAAAGTACAATCGAAAGATATATTAATATGATACTTACCTGCTGAGAAATGATGGCAGGAAATATTAAAAGTCTTTTTTCTGTAATTAAACTATTATGTTTTTGTAAGAGCAGAAACTTTGTGTGTACAGCAAAAACACTGCAATTCATATCATACAATAGTCTCAAATGAGAGCCCAGGTGTTCCTGGCAGCATTTCTTGTGTGGTGTTGGATGACAGCAGAAGCAGTGCAAAGTGTGCATGTTGTAAGTTGAGAACTAAGGCTGCATTGAAGTTGCATGATGCAGCACAGTCAAGTGCTGCCAGATGTGCTGACTGTGAAGTACTTTTGGTCATTGTCATTCAAAAAGCTTTTACTGTTGCCAAAAATTTTTGGACCCCAACATTGAGTTATGTGACCCTATATAAGGTTGTGAACTACAGGTTAAGAAGCACTGCCACAGACAGTGCAATTATATCAATACTAAACATATATGCACCAAGTGGTATAGCATCCAAATTTTTAAAGGAGAAGTTAAGTGAGTCATAGGAAGAAATAGACAGCAAAGCTATACTAGTGGGGGATCTCAACCTTCCCCTCTCTGAGCTAGATAAATCTAAGCACAAAATAAACAAGAAAGAAGTTAAGGAGGTGAATAGATTTTTAGAAAAGTTGGATGTGATAGACCTCAAGAGAAAACTGAATGGGGATATAAAGGAATATACCTTTTTCTCAGTGGTACATGGCACCTACACAAAAATTGGCAATGTATTAGGGCATAAAAACTTTACAAATGCAGAAAGGCAGAAA